TTTTTTGCAAGAGAAAGAGATCGGTTGTTTTTTTTTTTCTTTATTGGAAATATGAGTAAAATGTTCAAATTAGTTCACAAAGATCCAGAAAAAACTCCCAGATTTCTTAAAAAAATCAACAGTTACAAATTACAGCTTTCAGAATTTGTATACCATCAATGATATGGCTAGAGAGGGTATATATCATTTGATACGGCCAAACCGTGTCTAATCGAAATAACGGTTTTAGACCCTAGGTCCCTTTGGACCAAATCCGTTTCAGGACATTTGGAGTAGATCAAGCGATGTTCATTCGTCCGTCCGTCTGTTTGGCTGGTGCGCTTGAAGGAAATATCCGATTTAATCCAGAATTGGTGCATCGTAATATTATTGGCAAACTTAGATCGAGTTCGGAGATGGGCAATATCAGTCCACTTCTTCTTGTACCTCCCTCACAAAATGTCAACATTCTCAAAGAAAATAATTTACTGCACTGAAAGAGAAAGGATAATCCGATTTTGCTCCAACTTTGCAAATCCTAACATTTGCATCAATGTTATGCCACAAAGGATCAAAATGTTGAATAATTATAACTCTTATAAAATGTGATGCATGTGTCCGATTGTCTTCAAACTACACGCATCACAATATTTTTACTAAACCAAGGTCTGATGGGAAGATGGAATATATCGGCGCACTCCTTCTGGTACCTCCCCCACAAAGGGTCAAAGTTTTGAATATCCATGAAACTCATAAAACGCAAAGTTAACATCCGATTCCATTCAGACTTCGTACATCTCAATATTTCCATCAACACAAGACATGTTATAAAGATGGTAGAGATCGAACCATTTCTTCTGGTACCTCCCCCACAAAGGGTTCAAGGTTTTCGAAAAACAAAACACTCAAAGGAAGAGAAATATGCATCTAACTCTCTTCAAATTTCACACATCCAAATATTTTTGGCCAATTTGCGAAGCAAGTCGGCGACTCTTTACAACTTGATATGAGTGTGTGATTTAGCGAAATTAATGATTTCGCATGAAATTGGATTTAAATGTTCGATTTTCTTGTAATTTTGACCATACCAATATTTTTACCTGTATAAGATGAAGTATGAAAATGCATATGCATATTACCGCATTTTCTAAAACTCTGCAAATATCTCATAATAAGTATAGGAAGTAGTCGATGTAGTCCATATCTGACACGTTGTAATATTTATATCAGTCAGAAATGAATTGGTTAATATTGGCCAACTTGTTCGGAACCAACCCTTAATGGGGGAGGTTTGAATAATTATAACTCAAGACTGGGGGTATACATCTGTCGGCAACACCGACTGATACTATTTTACTTCTTAAACATGTTTTCAAAAACCCTCCTATCTATAATTGTGGACTTTTAATGTAGGTCCAAGTTTCTCCATCAAATTTCAAAGTTCTATCCTAATTACGCCATAATTTATACATTTTTTTAAATTTTATTGAATGAAAGCAAAATTTGTCGGAAATAGCATCAAATTTTAAAATAAGCTTAGATTTGTTCGAATTGGTCACCTTTGGCACGAATTATGGCCTTCAAACGGACAATAAAACCGTCACACGCTGCCCGAATGGTGCTCTGCGGTATTTTGGCCCTTTCCCGGTGAAGCGCTTGCTTGAGGTGATCGACACTTTGGTATTTTTTAGTGCCAACCTTGCTTTCCAAAATACTCCAACGGGTTGGTATCCGGAGATTTTGGTGGCCATTATGCGCTGGAAATGAAGCGAGAAACCTCATTTTGTAACCATTTCTTGGTTGGTGCGTGCTGAGTGCGATGGTACTGAGTCCTGTTGGAATGTCCAAGGTCTGCGGCCAAAATGTTTCCGTGCCCAAGGCTTTAATACACCTTCCAGAATATTTTCGCGATAATATTCGGCATTTATTCTGATACCACGGTCGATATTTCCAAGAACTTTAAAACTTTATTAGATTGAGCTTTGTTTCACATATCGATAGACCGATTTCTCGAGCATACTTTTCATTGCGGAGGCTTGAGTTCAAATGGTGTCGCCAAATATATTTTTACAGTTAGTAATTTTTCCCACGTTTCTAATATTGTTCGCAGTTTGGAAGCTCAATTCTCGAGAATCGTGCGCCGTTGATGTAATTTATTTTTCTAGAAATTGTGCAAGACACAATGCCCCTTATTTTAGGCAAGTACTTTCGAGTTTTGTAGGTTAACTATTCTTCCCCAAATGGATGTCCAGATGGATGGGTCATTTCTTAATTCTTTTGAAATAATTGTAAGAGGAGGAATCTTTTTTTAAAATTTAATTATTTTTATAACCATTGGCAGGTTGAGGTTAGCGTTCGTTTTTTTATAAATAATTTTGAAATCAATTTTTTTGGATTTTTTTTTTTTTTTTTTTTGAATACTTTCAAAGAGCAGCAACTCAATTCTTGTTCTCTGTGAAATGAAAACTTTCAAAGGGGAATGGAATTAAAGGAAATAACATTCTTTAATACATTCAAACAATCAAAATGTTGACAGCACTATCGCCATCGCTAGCTTGCCGAAAAAAATCTTAAATTACGGCAATTATAAGTATTTTACTTTTGCCAAATTTTGTCGATTACAAAAAAAAATAGTTGATTTGGTTCAAGGATGCTCAGGTACAAGGTAGTCGACAACTGCTTCACTCGGATACATTTGGCCCATTGTGTTCATACTAAGAAGAATATAGTTGTTGGTGATAAGAAGATACCGAAACGAGAAAGAGAAGAAAGGGTGTAAAGAGATACTAGCAAGTGCCCGCTGTTTCGTCAGCGAACAGTCCGCGCTAAGATTTAAGATTCGCGCTAACAGTTCATGTTAGGTCTTTTAAGTACTCGAAATGTACAATTTGTTCAGTTTGACAAACATTTTTAATAAACACATCATACATCGTTCTAAATTGTCCGACTTTCAAGGGTTTATATATTGCTCAAATCTACCATTTTATAGTTTACCGAGGATGATATTAGTAAAACCATTGCACAATGGACCCACATTCAGTTTTCCTGTCCAATTTCAACGTCTCCATATGTAAGCCCTGGAAAGCAACATTGACCTGAATATAAAATTTCAGGCTTTCACCCAATACCAAGTTTAGTACAATGTAGTACTTTTCGCACAACTATAGTACAAATTTCCAAAACCACCAACATATCTCAATCCTAAATACTAACAAAGACCGCATAATCAAATTTGAATAATATATTCCAGCCTATAACTTCACCCAATACCAAATTTAGTACTTTTCTGACACTTAAAGTACACATTTCCAAACCATCACCAAATTTCAAACACAGATACCATCTGTAATCTAAATATCAAAATTCAGAATTGTATCTCTATCCCATCACCCAACACCAAATATAGTACCATTCAGTACTTTTCGTACAATTATTGTCATTTCCGAAATCACCTCCATATATCCAGGCTACACATGAACAGCGTCCCCAATACCAAATGTCAGATTCCGTTAACCCAAAACCAAATTGTACCAAATATACCAAATTATAAATTACTTTTCGTTCACTTGTAGTACACATTTCCAAAACAACCAACAAACCTACCACCAGCAGGGACCCCAATACAAATTACTAAAATTCCAGTTTCGTCCGTTCACCCTAAAACCAAACAGTTCCAAATATAGTACCATTTTGTACAGTTTGCACACTTAGTACACATTTCCGAAACCACCATCATCTATCAAACTTACTCATATTCTCATACCAAATTTCAAGCTTTCTATTCTCTATCGTACAAATAATACCAAATGGTATCATTTTAGAAGTTAAGTACATTTTTAGAACCTTTCGTAACCTTAGAGTTCGTATTTTATTTAAAGATAAAAGATCACTAGGTGAACGTATTTGTTTGCGAATTAAATGAAAGTTTGTCACTTTTTCATCTGAAAAGGATAATAATAAAAATTGCAATGATCCATTGTATAAAATTTATTTTGAACTGCTCTCGGTTCTTCTTTTTTTTTCATCCTATAGACTAATGGGCAAAACTAATGGAGGTAGCTCAGTTTCTCCGGCTGAATTGCTAAACTAATAGACTATTAACTACTCCAAACTAAGGAATCTATTGACTTCAATTTTTATACCCCCACCAAAGTATGGAGGGTATATTAAGATTGTCATTCCGTTAGTAACACCTCGAAATATATATCATGTCTGCAGGACTTTGGGTATTGAAAATGGGCCATGTAGGTCCACGTTTTGGTATAGCCCCCATATAACGATACCTCTCGATATTCGGTATTTTGATGATTTTAGCGACGCTATTCACCAGAATTGTTTCAAATTTGGTATTTGGTATTTCGTAATGGATTCTACACCCTAAGACAAAAAATTGTCTGTGCCATATAACGGCACCTCCAGATATTCAGTATTTTGTTCATTTTAGCGAAATTATTCACCGGAATTAGTATTTGATGTTCGTAATGGATGCTACAGCCTATGACAGAAAATTGTCTGTGCAGGTCCACGTCTTCGTATAGCCCCCATATAACGGTACCTTCCGATATTCGGTATTTTGATGATTTTAGCGACATTATTCACTGGAATCGTTTCAAATTTGGTATTTGAAGTTCGTAATGGATGCTACAGCCTAAGACAGCAAATTGTTTGCGCAGCTTCACGTCTTCGTATAGCCCCCATATAACGGTACCTCAAGATATTCGGTATTTTGATGATTTTAGCTACATTATTCACCGATTTTTTTAGGTTACATATGCAGGTACATGTAGTCATATAGACCCTAATATAATAACTACATTCTGTATTTCTAAGATTTTAACAGAATTTTTAATGGATTTTATTGATTTGAGAATTGCCAAATTCGTTCCAAAGCTTACAGCTTTTTTACTTGTTAAATGACATTTTGTGTCCAGCAACTGTTTTCACTTTATACCTTTTGAATAATTTACACCCATAAACACAGAAATTGAGTTATTGACAGTAATTATAATAAAAACAGAAAGTTGTTAATAAATTAAATTTATTTTTTTTTCTTTACATTGAATGTATTTCATTTCAATATCGTATTGTTAGTTTTGTTTTTTTATTTAATAATAATTGGTATGTATAGTTAATAAACACGTATTACAGTCTTAGGAAACATACATATACATATTGAAGTCAATTCGTCAATGCATAAAATCATTGTAAACACATAACATACGTATGTAAGCTACGTAAATAAATGATAATAAAGATAGCCTAAAATAATAGAAAAATAATAAATGAAAATTGAACATAAAAATATACATTTGAATAGTAACAAATATAGATAAGCTAAAATCAGATTTCCTTTAAAACAGACAATAATAATGATAATAATTTTGACAGTCTTACAAAAAACATAAATCATTTAAATATCATCATCAAGTTAAAATCATAATAGTAATACATTAAATATAAGAAAGTGAATTTAATTTAAAATTCATCTTCATTTTCGAACAGAGCTATAATACGTCTATGCTCGGCCTCATTGTCGAGGTCGTTGTCATCCGTGGCAGCTGCTGTTGGCACATTGTCTGCTTTGGTATTGTGCTGCAGAGCATTGTGTATCTCGAGGGCATCTAGAGTTTCGAATAGGAGATTACAGGTGGGACAACGGGCACAGGGATTGATGAGGGCTCCGCTGTTACCGCTGCTCATGGGGTTTGGCGTTTTTCGAGTATTTTGTAGAAGCTCCAAGAGTGGCGAAACATGAGCTCTTCGAGTTCGTGTTGTGGTAGTCGTGGTCGTTGTTGTCTCTAACAGATCTTGACGTACCGCTATAAGTGGAAGACTATCAATAACAGGACTACTACTGTTACCCATCATCATGTGGGTAGGCGGAGGAGTTTGTGTTTTAGCTGCATTTTGCAATTTTTCCAAAAATGCCATGCGTTCTGGATTCTCAATTGGCGATTTGGCAGTTAGGGCATTATTAAAAGTCGTAGTAGCCAAACGGGCAATGGGCTTTTTTAATTTCATTTCAGATCGCTCAATTTCATGTAAAATATTATTGCTTATGTTAATCGGTGTTTGGCGGACAGTTGTTGGCGGCGCCGCCGTTCCGCTCGTCAAGATCGACGCATCATCTTGTAAAAATGATGAACCAAAAACTGTTTTATTTACCCTTTGATTTGTATTTTTGTTCGTTGCATTTGCCACGACATGTAGAATATTATTGCTGGCATTAATGGGATTGGCTCGAAACACAGTGGTCTGTGCATTATTTGCCTCTACTCTATCAATTTTATTGTTATCTATTTGTTTTGGATTTGCATCGGAGCTTTCGCCAGCACCCGTTGTAACCTCTCTACTTGGCAGCAAATCTGGCAATGTGGTATCAATTAAATTCTCCTTGAGCCATTCACATGTCTTGCGTATAGAAAATATCATACGCCGTATGAATTCGTGTGGTGAAATCTCTTTGCAACGTTTTATATACATCAGGTTTTTGATTTCTTCAAAGAATTCAGTGAACTTGTAATCTACACACGTTTTCAAATGTTCCTGTATGGTCTCTTCAAACATAAAACGTCTCGAACAGTATTTACATTTGTGTTCCTTGCATGTAGATTCAATGTTCATGCTTATCAGATCTTTCAGTTCATCCAAATCCATAATGTCATCTTCTTCGAATATTTTCTCTTTGTAGGAGAATATATTTGTATTTTTGTGACTGCTTGGATCACCGTTACCACTGTCACCATTCGATTCAGGTTCGTCATATTCATCACTGGAACCATTACGAGGATAATCATCCTCATAGTTTTGTTTTTTCCTACCATACCCGCTACTGCCGGCCGTATCAAATGATGCCGATTTCATTAGGTTATGTTTTTTATGTCTAGCCCTATTTGCTGAGGTACCTTGTCCACCAAATCCTACTGTACCTTTGCCCGTTATATTGTCGTACATATCGGGATTCTCATAAAGCTCACACAGATAGACAAGACAACTTTTCGTTTGATTCGTTAGGATTCTAGCCATATTACTGTTGTCCGTCGTGGTGGTTATGAGTCTCTTGTTCACCTTATTTTGATCTTTATAAAAGCAATTTGTTGTCCTGTCTTCATCCGCTGTATTATTGAATTGCATTGGTCGTCCAGATATTGATATTGCATTTTCCTCTGTTAGTTCGTTATTATGAGAGGATGGGGGACCCAGTATCTTATTGATTTCATCTTCAATATTCCACTTCGCTTTACCCTTAACAATATCTTTGTATTCTTTTACAGCCATAAAATTTAGTCGCATTTCTATCGCTTTTTCTCGAAATGTAAAGGCATGTTTCAAATATGAAATACACAGAGCACAAATATGTTGCGGCAGTCCATCATCCCGGAAGATCTAGGAAAATTAGAAAAAAAAAGAAAGGAATGGGTATAAGAAAGACATGTAAAATGGGTTTAAAAAGATGACAAAGAGAAAAATATGATATAGTGATGACTTTTTAATAATTTAAGTACCATTTTATTTTCAAAATATTTCCTAACAATTTTAAGTCGAAAATATTTTATTTTGGCAAGAGAAAATTGTGCGACTTATGTATTGCTACGCATCCAAGGCTCAATCACGTGCGAAAGACAATAAATTTCTGGTGATAACGGTGGCTTAATGACCAATACAATAAGTTCTGAGTTATGAATGATCAAAGGAATATGTTTGGTCCTAGTTTTGCTTAGTGACTGAGATCGTTTCAACCCAATTTGAGGATACAGACAGGGTGTTCCAATCATCAAACCGCATATTTCTTATAAATAAGAAAACCATTGGATTTAACTGTCCTAGGTATTCCAATATCAGAATATTGATAATAAAAAACCGCCAAGTCTTTTTGCGACTTTTTAAATGATGCGAATAAATGGTGGAGAGCGGTTATTTCACTCTGGGACTATAGAATCTGATTTCTATACTGAAGTTGATTTTTATACCCTACATTATGTCTATTTATTATGTCTTTGTGCATTTGTTTGTTACTTGGAGAAGGAAGCGAGATAGACCCATAGTTACTTTTGAGGATCTTCATAGAATCACTTTCTGAGTTGATTTATGCATGTCAGTCCGTCTGTCCGCCCGTCCTTTTATTCTTGTGAACAAAATGCAGGTCGCATTTATTATCCGATTGAGATGAAATTTCCAAACAATATTTATGTGGAACGAACTCTATTGAAATTGGTGATAATCGGATCAGATTTGGATATAGCTCCTATATATATATCATCGGGTTAATTGTGCACCAAATGGCCAATATCAGTACAAATTACCTGAATTTTGGCACATCCGACCGAATTCAGCCTGGAAGCAAGTACATCAAATCGGTTTAGATATACCTATAGCTCCCATATATATATTTCATCCGATTTGGTGTTTAAGTCCATCACATTCGTAATATGCAACCCACAAAAATGATGTTTGGTATCAGATATAAGATGCAGCCCAGAAATACCTTTGCCAAGTTTTATAAAGATCGGTTTAGATTTGGATATAGCTCCCATATATGTATCTTCAATCGATTTCGGGTTAATTGTGCACCAAATGGTCAATGTGACTCCAAATAAGCTGAATTTTGGCACATCTCACCGAATTCAGTCTAGAAGCAAATACATAAAATTTGGGGAAAATCAGAACAGATGTAGCTATAGCTCACATATATATGTTTCATCCGATTTGCTGTTTAAGTCCCTCACATTTGTAATATCACGCCACAAAAATGATGTTTGGTGTCAGATATCAGATTCAGCCCAGAAATGCCTCTGCCAAATTTTTTCAAGATCGGTTCAGATTTGGATATAGCTCCCGTATATCTTCAACCGATTGCGGGTAAATTGCGCACCAAATGGCTAATATCAGTCCAAATGACCTGAATTTTGGCACATCCGACCGAATTCAGTCTAGAAGCAAGTACATTAAATTTGTATGAAAATCGGATCAGATATAGCTTTAGCTTCCATATATATGTTTCATCCGATTTGGGTTTTAAGTCCCTCACATTCGTAATATGCATTCGAAAACAATGATATTTGGTACCAGATATCTTATAGAGAAATACCTTTGCTAATTTTTATCGAGATCGGCTAAGATTTGGATATAGCTCCCATATATATCCTTAATCCGATTTCAAGTTTATTGTGGAAATAATGGTTAATATCACCCCAAATGGAGTGAATTTCGAGACGTACGTTTCCATTTTGTGAAACTGTGCTCCGATATATGTTTTTTTTAACATAATCCTTCTCGAAGTGACATCATGCACTCTATAGCAATGTCATTTGGTATAAAAGATTAAAATGTCTCCATCAAATTTAGTGAAAATCGGTTCAGTATTGGATATGCCTCCCTCTGAAAACAAACTATAAATGCTTTAGAGCAGTTGAAAGGTGGTATGATCTACTAAATATGCATAGTGTTGTTGGGTATCATATAGTCGGCGCCCGACTATTGACTTTTTCTTACTGGTTGTAGAGCTGTAAATGAATCCAAAGCAGTCCATCCATATGGTTTGCAATAAAAATTGTGTCATGTTTGTAATTTGAAGGCAATCGGACACATACATCACATTTTATAAGAGTTATGACCATTTGTGAGGGAGGTAACAGAAGGAGTGAACCGATCTCCGGAGTGGACCCATCTCCGAACTCGATCTAAGTTTGGCAATAATAGTACGATGTACCAAGTTTGGATCAAATCGGATACTCCCTTCGAGAGTTATCGTGCGCACCAGCCAGCCAGACGGACATCGCTAGATCGTCTCCAAATGTCCTGAAAGGCTTTTGGTCCAAAAAGTCCTAGGGTCTAAAACCGTAATTTCGATGAGGCAAATTTTGCCCGTATAAAATTATATATACCCTCTGTAGCCATATGCCTGAGGTATAAAAATAGGATATTTTTCGTCTTTATCGGATCTCTAGCAAATGAGCAACTGAAATCATTGCATATTTTCTTTTGACAGATAAGATAGACCAGGTCAACAACTTTTTTCCTGGAAATCAATGAAATTTTAGCCTCTTAGACTCTTTGATAAATAAGTTGTTCTTCCTTTCTTGAAATGGGGAAAAAATTCAGCCATACCCCATACTCTGGCAGTTGTGCAAAATTTCTAGATCTTAGCATCAGCAAGCTTCCTGCATTTTTGCAATTCTTTTTGCATAAAGCAAATATAATGAATTAAATACTTTATCTCCAACATTTCACTAATTTTTTCCACATCTCACATGAACTTACTCGCAATCCGGTTATATCCTGTATCAGCTCATAAATTGGAGTTTGCCAATGTAGCATATCCTTGCTATTTTCATGCAGATACACAGGTATTTTGTTGAAGATATCATAATCGGCAGGGCTAGCACAGACACGGCACAAATTTCCCCACGCTGACATCGTAGCTGGGAATGTAGTTGTCAAAAGTACAAAACTTTTTTTAAATTTATTTAAGGAATACTATTTAATTTTTATTATAATAAAATCAGAATTTGACAAACAACGAAAAAAGACGACCGACAGACAAAATGCACCGACAACAATAGAGCTTGCAAAAATCGATTACACTATTGAATGCAGCAATATCGAATACATCGATATAATCGTATAGGCTTCCCAGCAAATTAATTTGGAATCATTTGTATGTGATGTGTTTCAGAACTTCATATTCACTCCATAGCAATTACACTGTTCCAGAACCTGCAAAAATATACAAGTTTTGCTATTTTTTCGGTATCACAAAGTTTTACATTCTTGCAGTTCTAAAACAGGCCAAATGATATTCGGTAGAAGATATCAAATACAGCTGGAAAATATCCTTGACAATTTATAACTAAATCGGTCCATATTTGGATAAAGCTTTCATACACATCTTCGATTCCAAGTATATTGTTCGCCAAATGTGTAACATTAGCCCAAATGGAGTGTTAAAATTCGGTGAAAATCGGTGAAGATTTAGCTATAGCTCTATTTTTCATCTAATCTAATATCTTTTGGCCTGTTCCAGAACCTGGAAGAATGTAAAAGTTTTTACTACGATGATCGATTTTCCCTTTATGATATCGAAATATGCAAAACTGATAGATTTTTGCAGGTTCTGGAAAAGAGTTGGTCTGTTCTAGAACTGCAAGAATAGTTGTGTTCCAGTACTTTTTTAGTAGTAAAACTAGCAGAAGAGAGAACAGTTCGAAATGTCATTCTCATTTAGGTTTGCTCAAAAAATAAGGGAACGGAAAATTAGCAGAAATGCGATAAAATGTTAAAATTCAAAATTCCAAAAGTAAACAGCCTAAATCGGACTGGTGAAACCATTCTGAAAAGAGCGCCAACATTTAAAAAATGAATATTGAAGACGATAAGTTAAAATTAATAATTTATAATAATAATTAATAATCTGATTCCTCATTCAGCCAGTCCTCTTCACTGCTGGAATCATCCAAAAGTGAATACATCAGTTGCTCCATATTTTCTCTTTTTGTTTTTTGCACGACAAATATTAGTTTTTCCTTTAGTTTTCAAGTTGATCATTTTCTTTACTGAAATGTATCAATACATTTTCAACCTTGTTAGCCCTGCCAATTAAATGTCAAATTTACAATATGCACATTTCTGCTCGGCCAAATTCATGTAGCTAAAACAAGCAGAAATGTGCACCATTCAGCGCCATTTTTTTCTCGAGAGAGCTGCAAGTTTTGCTAGTTTTTGGAGTACGGGAACGCGTTGTAGCAGAATTAGTGCTAATTAGTACTAATTTGCAGGTTCTGGAACACAACTAATGTAAAAGTTTTTACTACGATAGCCGATGTTTCCTTTATGATATCGAAGAAAATTGCAAAACTAGTAGATTCTTGTAGGTTCTGGAACAGAGCGAGTATCTTGCTGCTTCTTGAACAGAGCAACAGTGTGTCCCATGGGCACAATATCAAAACGTAAACCTGTATAGACGATTAAATGTGAATAAATGTTTTGTGTCTCGTACCATCGCTCGTTACCGTGATACGTTTAGCGTAGCACGAAGTCAAAGAAGTGGACGGAAGGAAACAGCAACATCAGCAGAAATGGTTCGAAAAGTAAACAAGCAACTTGATCGAAACCCGCGTCGCAGTGGCCGAAAAATTGCTCGTGAGCTGAACATATCGCAATATTCCATTCGGTAAATTTTAAAAAATGAGCTCGGGGTAAAGCCATTGAAATTCCAAAAAGTGCAAGAACTTACACCGCAACAGAAAGAAAATAGACTCAAAGGAGCTAAAGAGTTGCTTCGCTTGGCCGAAAGTGGTGAACTGCTCAACAAAATGATCGTGTTTACTTGCCAAAGAGGTAAGCAAGCGCTTCTCCGGGAATGGGTCAAAATACAGCAAAGCAACATTCGGGCAGCGTGTGACGGTTTCATCGGCCGTTTGAAGGCCATAATCCGTGCCAAAGGTGACCAATTCGAACAAAATCTAGACTTATTCCAAAATTTGATGCTATTTCCGACTTGTTTTGCTTTCATTCAATAAAATTAAAAAAAATGTAAAAATTATGGCGTTTGACTTTCCCTGTCCCTAGCTTTTTCCTCATATAAAGAGACTGCAAAATCGGGAACATCTTAATTTTTTGGTCCATTTCAACCCCTAAATTTACATTTCCATAACAGTTGGCTTTAATTCTGACACTAACGCTACCCTCATGCAAATCGACTTAGCTGGCGAGATAGGAAGATCCATTTATAGTTTCCTATGTCGGGCACTAATATTTCGAGGTTTTATATCATGTTTGGCCCAAACAAACTTATAATACCCCCAAAACATGGTGTTTGGCTTGTAAAGTCAGAATTACTATCAAAACAAGTAAAAATTCTGCAAGGCTGTAAGTACATAAGAAGCTTGAAGTCATGGCTAGGCATATTTTGTGACATTTCATAAAGGGATTACAGAGCCGCACTTAAATCCTGTCGCCGTTTTCCATTATAATTTGACATTAATATGCCTAACCATGACTTCAAGCTTTTTATGTACTTGCACCTTAAGTTCGGTCGGGCCGATCTTTGAATACCCTCTACCATTTTTTTTTGACAATTTTACAAAAAAAAAAAAAAAAAAAAAAATCCGTTAAAAATTCTTCCGTGAATAATGAAGCTAAAATTATCAAAATTCCGAGTATAGGGAGGTACCGTTATGTTGGGGCTATACGAAGACGTGGACTTGCTCAGACAATTTTCTGCCATAGGCTGTAGCACCCATTATGAACTTCAAATACTAAATTTGAAAGAATTCCAGTGAATAATGTCGCTAAAAACATCAAAATACCGAATATCGAGAGGTTGCCTTTTATGGGGGCTATACCAAAACGTGGTAGGTATAGGTAGGTATATCATCCATTCTCAATACCAAAAGTCTCGCAGACATAATACACATTTGAGTAAAATTTCGTTCATTTCGTTCGGAAGCTGGAGTGTTTTCCACAGACAGATAGACGGACATACGGACGGACTTCGTTGAATTTTATGCTGATCAAGAATCGAACTTAATGTATCCTCCATACTATGATGGAGGGTATAAAAACCAAAAAAAAATTGTTGCATTAATTTTGAATAAACAATTGAAATCCGCGAAAACTGGATGAAATGTCAACATTTATTTTCAAAATCGTGTCCTATATATCTCTAAAGCTTTATTTCGCTACAAAAACTGTAGATTTTGTTGATGCATACGTTACAATAAGCATTGTGAAAACACCCGAATTTGAATATTTTCTGAGCAATTTTTTTCTTATACAATACACACACATAAACATATAAAGTTAAGCCAAGAAAATAACAAAATTAAAATCACATTGTATCATAGGCCTACCTCGATTTTATTGCACCATGGCCCCTAATATTATTGTACTATGATTGGAACGAAAAATCCTAAATATTGTGGAATTCAACCCGACTAATGTCGACAATCATTTTTTCGATTTAGTCAACTCTGACTTTGTTTAGAATGAGAGTGTAGAATGATGGAAGGCAAAACTCTGTCGACGTCGTTGTCTCTTATCTTCATTCATTACGCCTCTTCCTGCTTTTATTATTGAACTGGTTCATGTTCCTATCCATGAATTCGTGATTCATAAATAAATCTACTTTGTTGGCACTGTGATCTCCAGAATCAGAATTTTGGGTACTTCCAATAAATTATGGACTTAGAAAGTGAGAGGATTCTTAAACTAATATTTCCAGATGGTGTACCAGGTAAGCCGTATTAGATTTCCATATAAAATCATCACTTAAACTCATTCCAATTTTCTTGCAGAAAATCTCGCCGACAATCCGGAACTTTTCAATTATCTCAACAAGTTGGGTTCGTACAAAGTCGAGCAATTGAAAAAGGAACAAACACGTCTTGCCGAGGAAACCAAACACATTGTCGAACAAACGCAAGATTTGGCAATATCGAATTATAAAACCTTTATTAAGACAGCAGAAAATTCTCGTTCCATTTACAAGGAATTTCAAAAGGCTGAATCCCAAGTTGGCACTGTAGTGGAAAAACTACCCGAGTTAAGTGAAAAATGTGAAACATTCCTTGAGAAATCGGTAGAAATCAATGAACAAAGACGACTCAACTCCATAACGTTGAAAAAGAATGCACAACTTTTGGAAATATTGGAGTTGCCACAATTAATGGAACGTTGTATACGTGAGGGACGTTATGAAGAAGCACTCGAATTGGCTGCCTATGTACAGAAGATGGGTGAAAATCAGGGTCATATATTGGTTGTTAAGGTTAGTGAATTTCCCATGTTTAAATATCGTCATTAGTCGTTCCTCTGGCGCATATTACACTCATATATTGCAAATGACTAAAACCATCATGAGGTTTTGTTTGAAATCATTTCACATTTACAATTTTTGTATTTATTCTAGAGTATTGTCCATTCGGTGGAATCATTGTGGCACACAATGCTGGTCCAATTGGTGGCTCAACTTCGTACTGATTTACAATTGCCTAAATGTTTACAAATTGTGGGTTACTTGCGACGCATGCAAGCCTTTGGCACCAATGAATTAAAATTGAAATTCCTACAGGCAAGAGATTCTTGGCTATCTGCATCACTGAAGGCAATACCAATGGATGATGGTAAGTTAGATTGGAAAAATATATCATTAAATATGCCTACTTTGACAGAATGAACTAAACTAGAATTGATGCCATCGTTTGTTAGGCGGCCATGGAGGTGGTACAAAGGTTCGGTTAGGTTAACCGCTCCAATCGGAGACCTGCTGGTCCATTGTGTTCATCCTAAATGAAGAAAGTGGAAGAAAGAAAGATTGGTGAAAAAAGTGAAGATATTATTGATAGGAAATAGAGTTATAGGGGTAATCCACGGCTAGAAATTTTGCCGGTCAGTGTTAGAGAACGAAGACAAATCATGCGACACTAGTTCCCCCACCAACCTGTGTCTCACGTTAATGAGTGCTGGACAGTGGGAGAGCCAATGTTCGATCGTCTCATTTTCCTCCTCGTCTTGACAGACTCTACAGTAATCAATATCATCGCTGTCCCATATCGAGGTCATTGCCCTCACCTTGCAGTGACCTGTGATGTTACCCATCACATGTTCTAAATCAGGCTTTGACAAGGACAGTAGCGACATTGTTTTCTTCTCAGAGAGTATGGGCCAGATTCTTTTGGAGATGCTACATCCCCTTTCCTCCAGTCATTTTTGTAGAATTCTCTCAGAGTAGTGTCTATGAATTACCTGGAGGACGTGACACAGGGGTGGTTTGGCCGAGTTCTCAACTTCAATGGTAGCCTACCCAATTCGTCTGTTGTTGTAGCAGCTCATACATCCGTGTTCGTTCTTTTCCATTTTATGACTCAAGTCAATCAGGTTCTGCCTCTAAGTCCAGTCTCAAAAAGGATGCAACCTGTATGGGTTGTGTCCATAACGAGACTGGAGTTAGGTGAGTAGGCTTGGCTGGGCAGCGAAATAGGTGCAGCGTGTCATGTGGGCCTGTGCCACATGCTGGGCAGATGTTCTGCACGTCGCCGTTAATCCGGGCCCAGTAGGAATTTAGGCGGCTGCACCATCCGGATCGTAATTGTGCCAAGACTACTCGGGTTTGTCGGGGCAGCTCTCGTTCTTCAGCTGCAATGGGAGGGGGATGGTCTCCTAGCACAGTATTCACTCTATATCCTTCAATGGCTTCTGAGACCGCATTAGAGTGAATACTATTCAGTCCCGCTTGATAGGCCTGTTGATCTAGAGGCTCTCTCTTATACCTCTGTACCTCTCTCTCTAGATCATGAAGGTCTTTCCTAACGTGCCTGGGCGGAGGTTGCCTATCCACAAGATGGTGATTTGGATGGCTTTGTCTATCACACCCAAGCAGGTATTGCATTGACAGCATTTTGTTATGCTGTCGCACCGGTAAGACCTTCGCCTCCTCATGTAGGTGATCGACAGGTGTCATGAGAAGGCACCCTGTTGCGGTTCTAAGGGCGGCATTCTGGCAGGACTGCACATTTTTCCACTGCGTAGCACTGACGTTGGTGGACCACACCGGAGCCGCATAGTTTACCACAGACCGGCCTATCGCGTTGTAAGAGGTCAACAAGGTCTCCTTATCAGCTCCCCAAGTACTGCCGGCCAGAGACTTGAGAACCTTGTTCCTACTTCTAATCTTGTCGCAGATAGCTGTGGTATGCGCGGACGACTTAAAAAGGCTATCGAATGTGACCCCTAATACCTTGGGGTAGTTGGTGGTCGGAATAATTGCACCATCGACCTGCACATTCAAGGATAGCCCATCTCCGCAGTCCATGTGGTGAAAAGTGTGGCCGTCGACTTAGTGGCGGATATCTTCATATTCCTCGCAGTGAAAAAGGCGGTAAGATCAACAAGGTAAGCGTTTAACCGATCGCAAATGTCATCAATAATGGGTCCGGACGCCACGAGCGTACAATCATCTGCGTACGTTATAATCTCTATGCCGTCTGGAGGGCGTGGAATGTCAGAAAGGTAGAGGTTAAACAGTTCCGGAGATATCACCCCACCTTGGGGAACTCCCTGTTTAACTCTACGGATGCTCGACTTCTTGTTTCTGAATTCCACGTACGACTGGCGTCCACACATGTAGTTTACTATCCAACGTTTCAAACTTGGCCGGAGGGTGGTGCGCTCAATGTCCTCGAACAGTGTGGCATGATTGACTGTATCAAAGGCTTTTGATAAATCAAGTGCCACCATAACTGTTCTATCGCACGGCCTGTTCTGGTTGAGACCTCTACTGACATGTGTGGTAATGGCGTGTAAAGCTGTTGTTGTGCTATGCAATTTCCGGAATCCGTGTTGATGATCGGCTACTGGGAAACACTCTCTTATACTGGGGAGGAGTAAAGCCTCAAGCGTCTTTGCTACTGGTGACAAAAGTGATATCGGCCTGTATGAATCACTTTTGCTGGCATCCTTGCCTGGCTTCAGTAGCGGGACCATCCTGCCCATTTTCCAGGCATCGGGAACTACTAGGGTGGCTAACGACAGATTGAGAAGCTTTGTAAGATACTCAACTCCTGGTTCATCCAGTTGCTTCAACATCACCATTGAGATTCCGTCAGGACCAAGCGCTTTGGATGACTTTGCGCTTCTGATGACCTGTGCAACATCTGCCAACGTAAATTGTGGTGGTACCTCCTCGGCTGGAAGGGATCGTACACGGCGTAGGATCCTTCTCTTCGCCCTGTCACTCTCGGGGTGCTCTACAAACTGCCGGTTAAAATAACACGAACACCTCTTCGGATCTGTCACTTCTAAGCCGTTGAATGAGACAGATGTCCGATCATCCTTTTTCCCAGGGTTCGAGAGCGACTTAACCGTTGCCCACAATTTACTCGTTCCGGTACCGATGTTGCAATGCTTCAGATGTTCTAACCACTTTTTCCGCTTATGCTCACCTACTAACCTGTTTACCTCCAGAGTAAGTTCCCTGACTCTGGGGTTATTAGGGTTAGTACGGCGAAGCTCATCTCGCTCGTTTGCTAATCCCGCTGCCTCTGCTGGGAAATTTGGTCTTATTTCAGGTATTCGACCAGCAGGTATATAGCGAGCGGCTGCAGCTTTGATGATGTCCCGGAAACACCTATCCGCTACCTGAACATCAGATGGGTTGGGCAGTTCTCTGAAGCGGCGATTGGTATACTCTCTGAATTCTTGCCAATTAGCTTTCCCGTGGTTAAGGAAAGTGCGGCGTTCAGAGTCAATGAAGTCGGGTGGTCTGTTGATGGCGATAATAATGGGGAGGTGGTCTGAGCCTAGAGAAATGACTGATTGCCAAGTTACGTCATTCGTCAGACCTGGGGACACGATGGATATGTCCGGAGAGCTATGGCAGTCTCCCCTTATTCTGGTGGGCGCGTCCTCATTCACTGTGCAAAACGTGGAGCTATCAATTTGCTCAGCCAGCGCCATGCCTCTCTGGTCATTACCTAGGACGGAATGCCATAATTCATGATGTGCATTGAAATCCCCTAGCACCAGACGGTTATTGCCTACCAGTAGTGAACTGATATTAGGCATATAACGTGCTATTTACGGAATGTACACGTTGAGCACCTCTACCTCGGCGGTTCCACACTTGACAGCTACCCCCATACATTCCATGTACGGGTCACTAGAGTCAAGCTCAGGCGAGATAGGTCTGTACTGGACAGAGTGGTGCAATAGGAACGCTAATCCTCCACCTCCACCTCTGGAGCGATCCTTCCTCAGTACGTTGTATCCATAACAACTTTGAAGCCTGCAGGTGGTACTCAGCTTCGTTTCCTGGATCGCTGCGACCTTGATGTTCTTCCGACTCATAAAGCTTACAATTTCGTAGATCTTACCTCTGAGACCATCACAATTAAATTGGAGAAATGATGCATTATCCGGAACCTGAACAGCAATGTGTGGCGTCAACTGCTGCGTAGATTGCTGTTGAGGAGATTGCCCAGTGTTGGCTTTTTTGACCGCAAAGAATTCCGCCTGGAACACGCCACAGCCGTTTCTAAGCTTCTAGGATTCGCGAACATTAAGAGTGGTACATAATAATTTTTTATACATATCCTTCGAAAATTTTTGGTAGTTTTCCAAGGTTCCAAAACCGGCTAGTCGGCCGTGTTTTAAGAAATTGGTCTATGAACACAAAAACCAGCATTTTTAAAGTCTCATATACTAGGAATTATGCAGTCCCTCCAAGTAAAAATCTTACCTTTAACCGTGTTGTTGTAGTAGCAGCCCCACTGAGGTGAGGTGAAGTCCTTGACCAAGTAGAACTCGCGTCATATCTGATCGTAAATATCTGTACTATTGTAACAGAATGTGCTGAGGTGACAGTCTTTGGCCAAGTAGACCTTGGGTAATATCCGCTTATAGACCCGTATATCGTGAGAATGCTTTTATTTCGAGCGGACGTTCTTTGAGCGTCACGATTTTTGAGGTCAGATCATTTATATGAAGTATAAGCTTCTAAAAAATAATGAATCTAATGTGAACTTTTCTATTCAATCCATAGTGGTGTTCATAACCGCATCAGAGGTGCTAAATATTCTCAAATTGAAATGGGAGCCATAGTGTGCTGTTATTGTCCCAATCCCAGAATTAAGTCTAAGCCGAGCTGTATTTTTCTGATATATCTGAAACATGTTTTCCTTTATCGATCAGTACTTTATTATGTAGATCACATCGTTTCTTAAGACTTGTGTCTACGGGAGTGCTATTTACATTTTGGTAATAGGCTTCTTTTCCAAGACCATTTTTCTGGTATATTTGCAAAATCCTATCAGGTCCTCACTTCTGCTTGTATCTTTCCATAATATGTAACCCCAAAAAGAGAAGGTGAAGACTTAAACAGTCTTAATTTTCTTCGGTAATGGTTTGCAAATTTCATAAGGTATGTGACATCTGACTAGTCTGGAAAACTTCCTCATTGTTTAGCATTTTCCATATTTTAGGTCCGTAATAGGTTATTTTTCTTGTTTTCACTAAGTTTTTCTCTCCTAAATGACTTTTTTCTATGCATTTTGAATTTTTGATATTCTTTTCTGCATTTCTTAGTTACTTGTCCATTTATGTTCACAACTTTTCATTGGGAGGCGCAATATTGACAGCAGGGCCATCTATATATACAATTTTAAAATATAAGTAATTCGAATTTTGTCATGGTTCCTATATTCGCTAAGTTCGAATGTATGGTTTGTGTCCAATATTTATCGAAATAAACTATCCAACGATAGATGGCAGTTTGACAAAGTCATTTTACTTTCAAATAATCCCCATTCTATTCTAGCCCAACAACATTTAACCAAAACTATTGAAGTAACCCGAGTTAATCTTTTCAACATCATCACCCAGTACAAGGCTATATTTCCCGATGAAGACAATATGGAGTTAACACAAAACGATAAACCCCTACAAGGTGTGAGCTGTGATGGAGAACGTCTATTTCAAAGTTGGTTGCATGAAAAGGTATGCAAATTACAAATCCAAACCAATCTCTCTTGGTAACTATACTCACTTTCCCTCATTTTTTAGATTTCTGACTTCTTGAAGACATTAGAAATGGATTTGCAACGAGGCATAACTTCCTTTGACACGGTCCTGGGACAGTGTATGTATTTTGGTCTTTCATTTAGTCGAGTTGGTGCCGATTTCCGTGCCTTGATGGCACCAATTTTTGTTCGAGTTATCAAAGATAAGTTTTTGGGCGCCATCAGCAGTGTTAATGATCAATTCGAAAGAGAACTGGAAAAGTACACTCTCATCAATAAAATAACTGTGCACACAAGTCGCCAACAATCGTCAACCGCAAAAAGCGATACCAATGACATTGAATCATATTCTCCGCCCGAAACGTTACTAGATTTCCATCCATTGGCTGCCCTGTGTAATGGCTATTTAAATGCCCTCAATGATTTGAGGCTTTGTGCTCCCACAGCTTTGGCAAATGATGTTACTTTGGCACTTCAACAATCACTGGAGTTGGTAGCTAAAAGGATTTTGGCCTTTTATCGCCAGGAACAACAAGCTTTTACCTCAAGTGAACGTGAAACTTTTTCAAAATTATGCTATTGTTTTGCCCATGAAATGATCCCTTATTTACAACGTTGTATTCATGCAATCTTTCCAACTTCGGCTTTATGCGGTCATTTGGGAGTAAATTTGAATACATTGGAGGCCATGAAAATAACCTATTTACAACAGAAAGATATCCTGGAACCATTGAAACATTTGGTGCCAAATAAAATTGAGGTTATGACGAAGTCCGACATAACATCCCCAAAGATGGAAGGAACGAATGTTGCTGTTACAGCAGAGGGTTAAACCAGTTGTCTAGTATATAAAAATATAGTCCTTTTAAGTATTTACAAATTTTATAGAAAAACATTTAAATATTCCAAAAATCTTAAATATATTAAAAATATGTACGAAATGCTTGGATTTAAATCAGAAAAGGCGGATCCTTGTGTAAGTTAAAATTTCCACCAAGAACGGTTATACGCTATCGCAAAAACTCAGGAAGCATGTAGAACTAAGAGTGATTTTTTCTAGTATCAGTGGGCCCTCGTGCTATAACTTAGCTAGATCATCTCAGAGGATTTTACACAGAACGTAGAATTATTGGACTTGTATAATTCAAAGTTATCTAAAATTAGACAGGGCCACGTCTTGAACTTTTAAGCTGGGCACTAAATAAGGAATAGAAACCTGAAGCCACCAATGAATTAAGGTATTGCTTAGATTTAAAATCTAAATGCCTTAGATGCTCTCTGCACCTTATAATATGACACAGTTTTAAAAAGGGAGTTTGATAGTTCGTAAAGGGTCACTGCAACCAGAAGCACCTTCTGATGAGTCCCCAATTCGTAGTTCTAGTATTTACTGATCACTCTGGCACCTCAGCAACCTATCCAATAACAAGAGAGATCAAGATTTCTTAATGTGGACCCAAGATTGTTGTTGTAGCAGTTTTACATGTTCCGTTGTTTTTCCGACTAATCCGGTTCTTCCTCAATGTCCAGGTCTAGGAATTCTGCTACCTTTATGGGCTGTAGTCATAGATCCTCTGGACGGAGTTGGGTAGGTTTGGCTGGACAATTAAACAAGTGTAGTGTGTTGTGCGGGCCTGTATCGCACGCTGAGCAGGCGTTCCGCACATCCTCATCAATTCGTGCCCAATACGAATTGAGACGGCTGCACCATCCTGAACGTAGTTGGGCCAATGCTACCCTGGTTTGCCTAGGCAGCCGACGTTCTTCAGCTGCAATGGATGGGAGTGGACTCCGAGTATGGCATTCATACTGTAATTATTAACTACTTCTGCGACTGCATCAGTATGAATGCTATTCAGACCCGCTTGATAGGCTTCATGATCTAGGGACTCTCTCATATATCGCTGGACCTCTCTCTCTAGATCGTGCAGGTCCTTCCTGACACGCCTGGGTGGGGGAGTTCTATCCACCATATGGTGGTTAGGGTGACTCCCACTGGACCCAAGATAATACCGGTTAGTGCCTTGAAACCTTGAATTATTTCAAACGACTGTGGCGTACGTAGACTACTTAAAAGTCTGTCAAATGTGCCGCCTAGGGATTTGGATGACACTGGTCACATTTCTCTTCATTGATTTGTACATTCAGTTGTTTATTCTTCTCCGATAGTCCTAGCTTTGGAAACGCTTTTATTAACACGCCTCTTGGGGCCGTTGAGGCATGTGCTAAGCCTATGTAAGGAATATGGGAGCCGAAGCCAACACAGGTGATTATATTTCACCATGGTGGAGCTTTGACCCAACTGCCATCCACATATTTGACAGGGACGCCTGGGCCCGTAACAATCCACCTTTTTGCGGCATAGCTGTCTATACCGACGGTTCAAAGATGGAATGCCGAACGGGAGCTGGTGTCTTCTGTGACACTCTTAATGTTCGCGAATCCTACAAGCCTAGAAACGACTGTAGCGTATTCCAGGCGGAAATCTTTGCGATCAAAGAAAGCCATAGGCCTGTTGATTACTAGACACAACGAGGTTAGCAGTCCGGTGACTATATACGTCGATATTCAAGCGGCACTGAAAGTCCCAATCTCCTCTACCATTAAGTCTAAGGTTGTTTTGGACTGCAGGAGATCCTTGGGAAACACTGGGTTTTCCATCAAGCTCTGTTGGGTTCCTAGTCATTACAATATTCCAGGCAACGAGACTGCAGACGAATTGGCTAGGCTAGGGTCCGAATTAGCTACCATTGAAGTTGAGAACTCGGTCAAACCACCACTGTGCCACTTCCTACAAGTAATTCATAGACACTACTCTGAGAGAGGTCACTGCAAGGTGATGGCAATGGCCTCGGAATGGGACAGCGATGATATTGACTACTGTAGAATATGTCAGGACGAATATGAAATTGAGATGATCGAACATTTGCTCTGCCACTGTCCAGCACTCATTAATGTGAGACACAGGTTGGTGGGGGAACAAGTGTCACATGATTAGTCTTCGTTCTCTAACACTGACCCTGCAGTAATTCTTCAATTAGCCAGAAGACTTAAGTGCCTAAAGACGACACGTAATATTTCTAGCCTTGAATCACCCTCATAACTATATATCCTATCAGTAATACCTTCCTTACCTTTTTTCCATCATTCTTTGTTTCTTTCACTTTCTTCATTAGGTTGAACACAATGGACCAGCAGGTCTCCAAGTGGAGCGGTTACCAAACGGAAAGCGCAGGTCCTTTAACATAACCTAACCTAACCTAAGCCATTGATTAGATCTTATGTGGATTTTGAATTTAAACAAGTTGATGATATTTGTAAGTTTTTATTTCAATGACGGCGCCTTTACCCTATTACTTCCTTCTCGATTCAAAAACTCCCAAGTACATAGGGCTGTCCTTACATCCGCACAAAAGCAAAATTAAAATCCCCCTCTCAAAACGAAAAAAGTAAAAGTAAATAATGTAAGTAATTTATGAATTACAATTAAAATTGTAAAATTAGCCACATAGAACAGCATCGAAACCCTCCTAAGTCAAAAGAAAAAAAACGATCATTTTCCATTTGTGTATTGCCAATGCCATTCTTACAGTTTTTGTTACTTGGGGAGAAACTTCCCAAAAAAAGAAGGGGTGGTTGGCCAAAGAATGCTTTGCTGATGACCATTGTCAGATGAAATTTTGCCCATTGCTTTGGTCATCATTTTTGCAGCTGGTGTAATAAAACTCCCCATTCGGTCATTTGGCAATTATAGCGATAAATTAGCAGCCAACAACAACGAAAAAGAAACAATGGTGGCACATCAACATCAAATAAATGAGCAGACCAAATTTCTTGGTCTTGAAGCCGTCTACTACTCCGCATGTGGTGTAGGTGGTCCTTTTTTTTAAAAATCCTACTGCTGAAAAATGGGAAATATGGGAAGGGGTATCAAAATCAGCAGAGGAAAAACAAAAGAATATTCCACACTCTTGTTTGGTTAGCGTTTTGAATTGTGAAATGACCCTCAATGGCAGATACCCAGGCCGTCCTATAATATGAGGAGGATTAAGTGAAAACTTTGAAAAACGGTGGATAATGTGTAGATAAGTATATTCGATTAAATACAGTACCTGGCACAGAAATTGAATGTGTTATAGGATTATCTGACAGTGTTGACAAATGTTACGCAATATTCTGCATTCAAATTGGGAAATTACAACAGTCAACAAGTTTATGATATTATTTGATAACAGGTTTATGTTTTCATCAATTATGACGTCATCAGAGGAAGTAACCGTTGTCAAATAATTGCATACTTATTATATTTGCATGGAAATGGTAACTTGTGTAACGGATTGATATCCGGAGATTTTGGTGGCCATTGTGCGCTGGAAATCAAGCGAGGAAACTCATTTTTTAAACATTCTTGGGTGGCGCGTGCTGAGTGCGATGTTGCTGAGTCTTGCGGCCAAAATGTTTGCTTAATACACCCTCCAAGGCTTTAATACACCCTCCAGAATATTTTCGCGATAATATTTGGCATTTATTCTGATGCCACGGTCGATTAATATGAGCGGAGAGCGACCATCGGCTGTTATGGTCTGGTGGCCAACCGAAGGTGCACATTTTTAGCTGACCTCTTTACAAACAGCTGAACAACTGATGTTTTCTCATCGGAGAAAACCAAATTCGGCAGCTCACCACTTTCGGCCAAGCGGAGCAACTCTTTAGCTCTTTTGAGTCTATTTTCTTTCTGTTGAGGTGTAAGTTCTTGCACTTTTTTGGAATATCAATGGCTTTACCCCGGCTTCGGGTTACGCTACCAGTATCACGGTAACGAGCGATGGTACGAGACACAAAAGATAGCCACTTGTGGTTCACACTATCACGCTCCATATCTTAACCTTAAGTACCAACAGTTACCTGAATACCAAATTTCGGGATTCCAGCTCTTTAAATTCCCCCATTCCAAGACCAGCTCCAGGTACCAACAGGGACCTCAATATCTAATTTGAGGATTCCAGCCCTATCCCTTCACCCAATACCATTTTGTACTTATCGTACTATTATAGGATGCATTGCCAAACCACCGCCATATGTCAAACACAAACACACCTTCAGACAAATACCAGTATCAAATTTAAGAATTTTAATTTTATCCCTTCATCCAATACTGAATATAGTAACTTTCAGTACTTTTTGTACAATTATAGTACACATTTCCGGAACTACCTTCAATACCAAATTTCAGATTTCAAGGACTTTATGTTCACCCAAAATCCAAATTGTACCAATCGTAGTACTATTTAGTACTTTTCGTGCACTTCAAGTACACATTTCTAAAACCATCTCTTTATTACGAACCTACTTCCAACAGGGACCCTAATACAAAATTTCAAAATGTCGGCTTTATACATTCATCCTTAGCCAACCCGTTCCAAATTTAGTACCATTTAGTACAGTTCTCTCACTTAGTACACATTTCCAAAATCACCTTCATATATCAAACTTACTTTCCAACCGTAATTATCGTACAAAATTCCAAGCGTTATCCGTTCACATAATACCAAATTGTACCATTTCAGAAGTTTAGTAACATTTTAGAACATTTCCTAAATTTAAAGTTCGACTTTCCAATAAACCCTTGGTGCATCTATCCTGCAATCTATCATTCCAAATTTCAGAATTCAAGCTCCATCGGTTCATCACAATTCCAATTTGTGCCAAATTTAGTACCATTTAGTACAGATAAGTAATTATTTCCAAAGCTTCCCACATACCCCAATCCAAAGTCGAAATTTTAGGATTCTACCCTTCTTCTACCCTTCTTCCAAATATATATATTGTACTTTACTTAGTATATTTTAGTACATATAAGTACACATTTCCAAAGCTACCTACATATTCCAATCTTACACCCCGACAGTAATCTTATTTCCATTTTTCAGGATACCAGCTC